AATTTTTTTCTTTTTGCGTGGTACAGATTATTTCATTATTGGCACATCACAGATACAAAGTCACACTTAAGTCACATACAAATAATTAATTTTCCCGATTTAGCGAAGCTAATTAATCAAAATATAACAGAATTCGTGATGTAACAACATTATTAAAGAACAATAATAAGTCTCCCTAGTCCCCACCCCATACAAAACAACAGACACAAAGAACGACGTGGAGCATACCTAGATACAAACACAATTAAGGACTTGATGAGACAAATAACAAGAAAACAAAACACATTTAAGACTTTTTCAAGAAAAGTTCTTGAATACTTCCATTTTGATTAAGATGACTTCCGTTTTGTTTCGCCACAGGTTTCCCACCCAGCTTTTCCACAAACTCCTCAATATTCCGATCCGACGAGCCACCGCGAGCTACAGCCGCTTCCGCCTCCTCCTTCCATTTCAAGGCGTTCTTCTTCAGCTCCATCGCTTTCTCTCCTTTCGTAACTTCTCTCAGCCTCTCCGCCACTTCCTCCCTCGGCACCACCCTGTCCTCCGCCTCTCCACGGCTGAGCCTAACTCCCGTCTTGAAAACGTCGATCATGTAAACCGCGTCGGTGACTTGATCTCCCCACTGAGGGAAACAAACCGTTGGCATTCCAGAAGACAAGGCTTCCATCGTCGAGTTCCATCCACAGTGAGTCACGAAACAAGCCACCGAAGGATGAGCCAAGACTTTCTCTTGCGAGCACCATTCCACAATTTTCCCTTTCCCTTTGACTTCTTCTGGCAAAACATGTCTCGCTTTGTTTATACCCAACTCTTGTTGTCTAATCACCCACAAGAACGAAACGTTTGCGTTTAACACGCCATAGGCGATCTCGTCTATCTGTTCTTGCTTCAAGTAAGCTACAGTCCCGAATGAGATGTAAACAATGGAGGAATCAGGCTGTGAGTCTAACCACTCAATGCAGTGATCTGTTGTCTCAGACATATCTCCTTTGATGTCATCACAAGTTAACGTTTTGGCCATTTTGTAAAGCGGTCCGAGCGGTGTGATAGCGCCAGGGAGAGAGAGATTTGTCATGTGGTCAATGATGTCTTGCTCCAAGGAGTAGAAAGTGTCTACGAGAACAGCGAAAGGCTTGTGAAGCCGTTTGATCTGATCTATGATCACTTCTCTTAGACCCGTATAAGGAGATGAAGGGTGAATGAAAGAAGGGATCTCGTCGTGCTTCAAGAGAGGCATGCAAGGGATTTGGACTTGGGTCTCCGGATCTGCTTTGGTCGGGAAATCAACTAACTTGTGGTGGTAATAGTAATAAGAGGCTAAGCAAGCGCAAGATTGGACCCAGAGAACAGCACAGGGGATTTGAAGATCTTCTGCCACGTCACAGACCCAAGAGACGAAAGGGTTATTGATGAGACACGTCACGGGCTGTTTTGTCACTTCCTTGTAACGTTTTACGAGTTTTTTTATCTCTCGCTGTCCGACTAGCTCGAGCTGTGGTCGGAGGATGGTGAAGTCGGTTCTGCTCACGTCGTCGTCTTCTGGAAGCCCGTCGTCGAAGAAATCAAACCGGAGGTAACCTTTACCGATCGGTTTGAGGACACGGTCTTGGATTTTGTTGGCGGTTCGCATCTTTTTGCCCCATGACTCTGTGGTGACGAAAGTTACGAGTAAACCCTTTGAAGCTAAGAGCTTTCCGAGACGAAGAAGTGGATTGACGTGACCTTGCCCAGGGAATGATACGAGCATCACATGAGGAGGTAGAGGAGAAGATGATAGTTCCATTTTTTTTTTTTATAAAGAAAATTGTTTCCTCTTCTTTCTGTTGTGTGAAGTATGTGACATGTTGAGATATGCTTAAATACAAGATAAAGAACGGTGAATAATTACGGAGATCTCAATTTCTACCGTCACTTTTTGGCCACGCTGTATCATTCAATTTTATTAAATGCATGAAGAAGCTTTTAAAGGTGGTTTGGTTTATTGAGTGACGTGGATAAATCCTCTCACTCGTTACTGTCTCTCGACTATTTACATTTTGAAGAAGAAATGGGCATGGATATAACGTTACCTCTGTATTCCATGTGGGTTTAAGGAATATTCGATGATTTGTTCTTTTTATGTATGACCACACATTCAGCTTCAAGTTTCATCCTACCACGACAAAAACACAAGAAAAAACAAAAGTAGCCATCTGAAATTTCCAATGTAATGTGAGATGCATAGCATAGTGTTAAATTTTTAATCCAAATGAAATGATATGCCTCATGTGGGATGTTGTACACTTTGATGGGTTACTTTGTTTTTCTGTTTTTATATAATGGCATTTTCTTCTAGTATCTACAATATCATATGCTTTCGGTTAAATCAAAGAGTATATTGTCAGATTTGAGAAACAAACGTCAATAATTAATGCGAACCAGTGAACCACCATTCACCAGAGTGTAGTACTTTCAATTTCAGGACTAATATCTAACTTTTCTAACCAACGAAAGTAAAATTGACCCTAGTTGACTAATGTGAGATATTTTTGGACAAGAATATTTTTGTTAATGGACATTATTTTCAAAGAAGAAAGAAAGTAACCCAAAAAAAGTTAGAAACGGCGTGGCGAAATTAAATACCTCTACCTTTTTATATTTTATCTTTGTTTTATAGAATCATGGATTTCTCGGAGACTAAATTAAAAAGGTGACGTGTTATTATTTCGTTGGTTAGCTAATAAGTGGTCGAGTTTCATTTTCCACCCAGCTTTGTTGAAGAAAGTTCCAATCCTACTGTACTACTACAAACCGTAAAGCTATAAATGAGTTTTGTTTTGCATACTTTAACAAAAAAAAAGTTTTGTTTTGCATCAGTCTACTAGTCTTTTATTATCACATGCATCTAGTTTCTTTTTTTTTTCTTTCGCTAGACATCTAATTTTCTGTTACAAGTTGTAATTGTGATTTTCTTCTTTTGTGTATATTGTATGGCCGTATGGGTGTGGACGATGACAGACATTAGAACAAATAGTGTGAAACAGACTTGAAACAGAGCAGAAAAAATGTGGTTCGTGTAGAACAAATGAAACAAATCGTATAAAACAAACGGTAGTCGTTGAACGTAATAATTTTTCAACTTTTAATTGTTGCTTTCATCACTTTAAATTATTGAAACAATATTCGCTTTGAAGAAAGTGCATTATATTTTGAAACAGCGAAGCACAAATATATTCTCTCCGTTTTTAATATATGATGTTTTAGTTCTGGCACAAATTTTAAGATATTTTATTTTTACATTACTTTTTTGTTTTCCAATCAACTGTACCAATAAAATAAAAGTAAAAATAATATTTAATTTAAAATATATTAATTAAAGCTAAAACATCAAACATTTAAAAACAAGTATAAATCCTAAAACATAAAACAATTAAAAACAGAGGGAGTAATATTTTACTATTTTGTAATTTACTTGTGATAAAAATATATTATATGGTATTACTAGGAAAAAGAAATTGGTGATAATATAATCTAAATAGAAACTGAAAATTTTGATATTTTAGAGCATTTTCTATTTTGGTAATACCATATTTGTATTTTCGTTGCAATTGGTAAAAGAATTTGTACTTACATATATAAAAATCTATTCATCAGCATATGATATATTATGTGAACCTCAAAAATAAGCTATACTCTGATTTGTCAATTTCTTTATACAATGTACCATCGCCACTCGAAATATGATTTTCATTGGGAATTAAACTATGAACACATTTAATATTATTGGTACGAATGGATCCATTTGTTTAATTTGTTTAATATTGAAGTTTTTTCTAACCATTTTGAGAAAGTTTTCCTATTACTGACTGAGAGCTAGAAACAAAACGACATCGTTGGAGTTAAGCCACATATGTCAAAATAGGCTGTGTACGGTGGCACTCATCTCTTAGCCACATTCCTCTGCTCTATTTTTAAACCGCCTCTGAACATTATGCTACATGTGTGAAACTCTAAAACTAACACTATGAAAAAGCTAACTACTATTATTTCATTTTGATAAATAAATTAAAAAATTGGCCACTCATGATCAATCATTGAATTACGTTATTATACTAATAATCCGACAAGAGCGAAAACATCATCAGGCACGCGCATACAGTTTTAAATAATTGGGAGTTTTCGTTTCCTAGATCGATTCTGCACGAGTACATGTATAAATGTATTAAACGTCCAATGATTATAATCTTTCACATTCAAGTTCGAATATTTAACGACGATGAACAAAAATTATAGAATGTTTTGTCGTCATTTTAGTGTGGCAAGACACTAAATTTAGCTCTCTTTTTTTTGTTTTCTTCTTTGTTTCTGTAGATAGGATTGCTAGTCTAAACGGATAGGATTGATATAAATAAACAAACTCTATACAGATAAATGTTGTAATATTTTAGTATAAATAATTTTTGTCATGGTCTTTCTAAACCGACTGTACCGAGTGTTAATCTAGACTGGATCATCCACCACACATAATTACACCGGTTGATGCTAATTATGTCTATAGAAACTGAATTGCTTGAGGCCATTCGTTATTTCACTTGTAACCTTTTAATTGACATAGTAAGCAAAGCAAATTTTCTAATTACCATATTTCTTTTATTTTATATATTTGTTTTATAGAAAAAAATCCTCGTGAACTAAGTGATTCTATGCTTTTGGTCTTTTATACTTTGTCTACTCATTTTTTCTCGTTTGTTTTCATGATTGTTTATGGGAAGACTTCAGTAGAACTGTTTCATTTTCTTTATTGATAGTTAATTATTGGACAATTTTTTTTCATTCAAAGTACCTTTCGAAGGAAAAACACTGCCTACCCAACACAAGTCTTTTCGCTACGTGAAATATTTCCTCATTGTTGCATTGCATGGCTTAAGTAATTTAGTTATTTAGGTCAAATGGAAAATCGCTGATTTCCTGATGGTCGTGTTTCTGGCCTGAAATTTCCTTCATTCACCGCTGGTGAAAGTCCCCCTCGTCCGCCGATTCCATCTGATCCTCTGGATCCGGCGCCGTTATCACTTTCTCAGTTCCCTCCGTTAAAGTCTCCTGAATCAAAGAAACCCTTCTCAGATCTACTATTGGGCATTGGTTCTCAGAGCTCTGTACTTTATTCCAACACTTCTACTGCTGAGGTTGTCATGACTGAAGCTACTTCACCTATCTCAGGTACTTCTAAGATGACGGCCGAAATGCCAACATCTGAACCTCAGATTGCTACTACTGCCATCCAGTGCTCTGCTATTGCAGAAATCGTGGCTGATGCTCCCGTTATTGTTGATACTACTACCTCTGAGGTAGTCATGGAAGATGCTACTGTAACCAATTCTGTTGAGGCTTTTCTTCCTGCTCCGATCTCTATTCATACTACTGTGGACGGTATTAGCTCTAAAAACACTGTTCCGGTGACCTACACTATTGTACCTCCAAAATCATCATCTCCTCTCCATACAAACAGAGCCTCCAACTCTGTCTATCCTACTGCTACGCATTCAGCTGGTTCTCCGGATTATACTGCTCCGCTAGACTCCACTCACGCGGCTCCAGTCCCAGAAAAAGCAAGTGTTAAGCCTTCTCAATTGGCTCCAACTCTGGCCGAAAGAATTAGAATTTCAGAGGATAGATCCCTCAAAAGATTGGCCCCTATTACTTACACGGATTCTGGTCGTCCAACAGTTCTAATCCCGGATGAGGTCTTCATACGTGGAGTTGAACTTCATAAAGACTTCATTATTTGCTACTTTAATGGCCGTCCTCCTCCCTACAGTCAAATTCAAAATGTTCTTACTCACATGTGGGGCAGAGGAAAAAGAGTGGAAATTCATAATAACCCTCTTACCGGATCAATGATTTTCAGAATACCGAGTGACTACCTCATGCATAAGATTCTGGAGAAAGGCGTATGGTATGTGGGAGACTCTATGTTCCATACAGCGCCTTGGACCTCTACCCATTCCTTAGATAACTCGTCTCTAAGGCCTTTCCAACTATGGGCCCATCTTACTGGTGTCCCCCTCGATCTATGACATCAACAAGGCTTAAGCTTAGTGGCGGGCTTAGTAGGTGATCCGAAAGAAACAGATGAATTTACAAAAAACCTTGCAAGTCTTACACTTGCTCATGTGAAAGTTGAGGTCAATCTTGCTACACCCTTGCCACGGGTTGTTGAATTCACAAGACAAAGTGGTGAGGTTGTGGAGGTGAAAGTTGACTACCCTTGGATGCCTCCAACATGCTCCCATTGCAAAGAACTAGGGCATATTGTCCGGAACTGCCTCCTTCTGCCAAAACCAGTGCATGCCCAACAACCTGTGAAGCCAAGAGGGCCAGTGACACCCCTACAGAAAAAAGGGAAAGGGCATTCAGAAATGCAATCAGACAGTCTGGCACCAATCAGGAAAGCTACGTCTACTAATACAGCTATAGCTATTGTGGATTCGACTAGCACTGCTTCTTCTTCTAAAGGAAAAAAAGCTCCACACCTCCCTTCTTTGCATCAGTTTCTAACGGAAGCAACAAATTCTAAGGGAAACATATCTAACGATCAAACTTCATCTTTCCCTGACCTTGATGGATCTCTGGCTAAATCAGTTTGTCAGTTGAGTTCTCCTCTCGTGCCACCGATTGCTTCTGTTACTATGGACATAGAGCTTCCAGCTTTGAGGAATTCAATTCCCTTTGTCAATAAGGTGTCTCCCCCTTCAGTCCCTGTGATCTTAGCGCTTCCAGCAACCATCATGGCCACGGGTGAGCCTTACCCTTATAGCCCTTCTCCTGAGAAAAAGGAAAAACCAACTTTAAAAAGATGCAGATCAAATCCTATTTTGTCTTTTCCTACCATAAATCCGCTTAGTTGCCCTATGACTTTTGCGGCCTTGAATACCACTGCAACTGGTCCTTCGGATACTCTCCCCCCTTCAGGAGAAGCTCCTCCACATTAATTATGAGTGTCAAAAGCTTTTTTGGAATGTCCGTGGTATTAATGATACGGGCAAGCATAGGCCTTTTTGTCAATGGCTTAATAGCCATCAGCCTATTTTCGGTGCTATTTTAGAAACTCATATAAAGGATCATAATTTGAATCAGTTGATGAGTACTTTGTGCAATGGTTGGAAGTTTACCTCAAATCACGCTTCTGATGAGGATGGTAGAATCATTTTTATCTGGAGAGACCCGGCAGTGGTCACAGTTAAGCATCAATCGCGCCAAACACTAACTTGTGAGGTTGTTCTGCCAGGATCGAATCGGTTCTTCTTCACTGCTGTTTATGCTTCAAATCAGAGGGAAGAGAGAAATGACTTGTGGGTGGAATTGCTAGAGGTCCACCAGAATTACTCCCTCCATCTGTTCCCGTGGATGATTGGTGGTGACTTTAATCAAATTCTGCATCATGTTGAGCACTCATCACGAGATATCAACATCTTAGATACCTCAATGATTGAGTTCAGAGACACACTTACTCAAATGGGAATGTTTGACCTTAGATTTCAAGGGCCGCTTTTCACTTGGACAAATTGCCGACCAGAAGCTCCGATTGGAAAAAAGCTGGACAGGCTACTGGTTAATAGCCCTTTGATCTCAATGTTTCCTCACTCTGCTGCAATGTTTCTTCCTCTTTTGACCTCTGACCACAGTCCATGTCTGATTGATCTTGCGTTACCGCTCCCCACTGCTGGTATCTGGCCTTACAAGTTTTTTAATTACTTGACAACGCACCCAAATTTCCTCTCTGTTGTTGCTGAAGCTTGGAATCAGTGCGAAACTCGCTCCTTCACCCTCACAAATGTTTGTTGGAAGCAAAAGATGATCAAAGGCAGTCTAAAACAGTTAGATAGAAATAACTTCTCACAAATTCAAGTCAGAGTTTGTGAGGCGTACCAATTATTACAGAATGTTCAACTTGAGGCTCTTCAGTCTCCATCTCCTCAACTATATCAAAAGGAAAGAGACTACCATGAGAATTGGAATTTCCTTAGAAATATTGAGGAACAATACTTCAAACAGAAATCTAGGATAAATTGGTTGAAAGAAGGGGACCAAAATACTGCCTACTTCTTCAGAGTGCTACAAACGCGTACTAGTTTCAACTCTATCAGGCTGTTTGTTCTAGCTAATGGATTGATCATTACTGATCCGATTCAGATGAGTTACCATGCTATAAACCATTTCAAGGCCATTCTGGTGCCTGATGTCCTCTTTCCTCCGGTCATAAGATCAGACCCTCTTTGGTTTCACGATCTCACAAACTTCAGTTGCAGCAATGATCAGAAAGATGCAATTATCAGTATCCCAACTACCATTGAGATATATAAAGTTCTGTCTAATCTCAACTCAAACAAAGCCCTTGGACCAGATGGGCTTACCTCTGGTTTTTACAAAGCTGCTTGGAGTATAATTGGAGAAGAGGTGGGATCTTCAGTTCAGCATTTCTTCCTGTCAGGCTTCCTTCCCTCTTCAGCAAACTCCACCATTCTAACGCTGGTTCCTAAGTTCTCGGGTGCTTCAAAGATTGTTGACTATCGGCCAATCTCTTGCCTAAACACGTTGTACAAAGTTGTTTCAAGAATCCTAGTTTCCAGGTTGAAGCCTCTGTTGCCAACTCTGATCTTGCCAAATCAAACAGCTTTCGTCAAAGATAGATTGCTTGTGGAAAACACGGTGCTTGCAAGTGAACTCGTGAATGGGTATCACAAAAATAAAGAGGAAAAAGATCACTATCAAAGTTGACATAGCCAAAGCTTTTGATACTATATCTTGGGATTTTCTATTCAACTGTCTAGAAGGTCTATCTCTACCAACTCAATATATCAAATGGCTAAAGGCGTGTATTTGTACTACTCAGTTCACTGTTGGCTATAATGGCATGGTTCAGGGTTACTTTAAAGGGAAAAGAGGACTAAGGCAAGGGGATCCACTATCGCCTTACCTGTTTGTTATTGCTATGAATTGTCTATCACATATGTTGAACAAAGCAGGGAGAGAGAAGAGATTCACATATCATCAGTACTGTGAAAATTCAGAGCTTACCCATTTATGTTTTGCGGATGACCTTCTTATATTCGTGGAGGGTTCTTTGGATTCGGTTCAGAATGTGCTCCAGGTGTTGCATGAGTTTGAATTAAGATCAGGCCTGGCAGTCAGTGTTCAGAAGTCAAGCTTCTTTGCTTCGGGCCTCTCTCAGATTGAAATTGACCTTATTAGCTTCTCCACAGGTATGCCAAATGGGACTTTGCCTGTCCGTTACTTAGGAGTACCCCTGTGCACGAAAAAGCTAAACCTCCATCATTGTGAAAATCTTATTCAACAAGTTAAAGGCAAGATTACCTCATGGAGTGCAAAATCTCTCTCTTTCGCCAGGAGACTGCAACTAATTCAAACTGTAGTAGCAGGGATTTCTAACTTCTGGTGCTCAACATTTGTCATTCCAAAAGCGTGTGTTAATAAAATAAACTCCATGTGTGGTGCTTTTCTGTGGAAGGGATCGTTAGAAGGTCATCACTCAGCAAGGGTTTCATGGGAGGAGGTTACAAAGCTAAAAAATGAAGGAGGATTAGGAATAAAAGACTTATCTGTTTGGAATAAAGCTTGTACTTTGAAGCTTATTTGGCTTCTCTTCTTCCAGTCTGGTTCGGTTTGGGTTGCCTGGTACAAGGAAGAGATATTGCAAGGCTGTCTTAGCAATTTCTGGATCAAGAAACCACATTCAAAAAACTCATGGCTTGCAAACAAACTTCTGAAGCTCAGGGACTTAGTCTTTTCTTCGGTAAAGTTAATAGTAGGCAATGGTAAGTCCTGTAGGTTCTGGTCGGATAACTGGTCACCCCTTGGAAGTCTTACTACCCTCTTGGTTAGGGATCGAGCTTCTCGTCTTGGAATTCTGCTGAATGCATCTCTAGCTTCTCTTTGCGTCCAAGGAAATTGGGTATTGCCACCAGCAAGGTCGGAGGAGCAAGTTTTACTGCAAAGCTTCTTGACAACGCTGCATTTAACAGAGGAAGAAGATCATTATGAATGGGAATTGGATGGTGTGGGATCTAATAAATACTCAACGGGTGATGTCTACACAAGATTGAGAGGAGACAAACCTGTTGTACCATGGGAAAAAATAGTGACCTGTTGTACCATGGGAAAAAATAGTCTGGATTAAAGGAGGCATCCCGAAACACAAATTCCTCACATGGCTTTTTGTTCTCAATCGCTGTCCAACAAAAGACAGAATCATCAACTGGGGTTTATCTACAGATCCAATTTGCTTACTGTGCAATAATTTACCGGAAAGTAGAAATCATCTGTATTTTGAATGTAGTTTCAGTTGGTCTTTATGGCTTCGAGTTGCTGCCCGATCCATGCCTTCTCCTCCTCATCGGCACTGGGATGCTACTGTTGAGCAATTGCAAAATTTCTCAGGTGGGAATTTGAGAAAGAGACTTTTGCTCCTAAGTTGGCAGGCCATTATTTACTTCATCTGGTCTGAACGAAATGGCAGGCTCCACCGTAATACTTTCAGAACTGTTGACTCAATCACAGGCTTGATCGACCATCTAGTGCGAAATCGGATCTCCAGTCTCAGAGAGAAAAATCAAACAAGTGCTTCTAATCTGATGCAAATATGGCTTGCCACTTCTGCTTAGATCCGATTGAGACAATTTGTTTCAATCTATCACAGATTCGTCTACTCCTACCTTCAAAACGGAGATTAACCTTCTTCAATTCGGTCTGATTAACTAGCCACGATTTGGTCCCGTCGATTTACTTGCAGGGATATCTCTCCATTGTCTCTCTCTCGTAAGGAAGACGCAAGTTACTGCTATGGGCTACCAATCATTACTGCACAATTTGGACTTAAATCCCCTTCATTTGATTCAAAGTATGATCACTTATTATATATATGTACTGGGCTAGGCCCGTAAAACACTAGCCAAAGGTTGGCATGCATTATTTTTCTTTCTTGCATTTTAAATATGAAGGCCATTTTCAAAAAAAAAAAAAAAAGTCTTTTCGCTACGTGGAAATTAATTACTCCTACATTTGAAATGCGGCATACATGCTAGGCTCTTTTTTCTAATATTGTTTATAACTTTTATTAAATATTACGAGTTACCAAAGTGATTATGATGATTATAAAATTTGTTACAAATTTAATTAACAAAGATTTCTAAAAAGAGTTTTAGAATAGTTTTTCAAATCTTTTTGTCCTCACTTAGTAGACTTCGGTAATTGTAAAATATGTTTCTTAGATTGATAAGACGGAGCTTCTATTAAAATAGTTTAAAATCATCTAAAATTGTTGTGATCGATTTTATCGATAGAATACGACATAGATTCGGTACTGAAGAGCCAAAAGTAAATTCAGATCTCAACCAAATCTAGTTTTGTAATTTTTACTGGAAGAGACTAACCTGAACTGTTTAAATGCAACACCAAACCAAAACATATATGTTGTAGAAAGTGCAGATTGAATCTACAAAGAACCAAAAAACCACCAATGAAAAAAGAAAAAAAACCAAAAATCAATCAAAAAATCTTTTTCAGATAAAAAAAATAAAAAACCAACCAAAACAAAACAAAAAAAAAAATAACATGAAAAACTAATAAAATAAATAATACAACCGATGATAGAGTTAAAAAAGCCTTCAGCCATCAACCGATGACTGTACGATGTGTTTCGTAGTTATGCTTTACACAGCTAACTAGATGATACAGTATTGTGAGATTTTTTTTTTTTTTGAAAATGGATATATATTATAAGATTTTTCCCTATCCATATATATATTAGACTCTTTCATTTCCTTTTGTAGTTAGAGTCTTAGTTTTGACAGATCAAGAAAAATTAAAAAGAGCTAATCTTAAACTACGTAAAGAACATTTTTATGCAAAGTCTTGAGAGGAGCTCGTCGTCCAAGTTTCATGGAGATTTCCTCCTCCTGCTTGTTTATAGCTTCTGCTCTCCATCACAAGGTATACATTATATGCTCATGTAATTTGTTATTATAAAAGATTTTTTGAACACTTTAATGTAATATTATAGATAATAAACTAAAGAAGAATTGATTAATATAATAACACTTTTTAAAAAGATATTAGAAAACAAATAACTAATCTCTTTAATCATTTTTTTGTTTTGTCAACAGCTTTGAATTATATTTATTACATATCTAACCGATGTATTAAAATTTTAATTATATATACCTTGAAAGAAATTTGCTTTCCTCCCGACTTTGATTTTTATAATTACTAAACAAAATAATTTCTATATATGTTTAAGTCTAAAACCGAACTCTTTTTTTTTGGTAATAGCATTATACATTTTCCTTCGAGGAGTCCTATGACGATTTGGCGTGATCGTGACATCACATGGAATGGATCAATAATATGACTTCACACTTTATGTGTATCTAAACGGGACACTCTAATACAAAGAAGAATATATAACGAAGCTAATCCTCAAAGCCACGTTTGCTATTAGAAGCCGAAACTACTAAAAAGGGAAACAAAAGCAAACCCCAAAAGCAAAAAATTAATTATAATCAAAGCCCCCCCAACTTTTGAAAAGAGTATAAGCAACACCAAACCCATTTTTACGTAGAAGCAATCTCTCTCTCTCATCCTATAAACACTCGAGAAACAATACTTTCCATCAAAACATATTCAAGACTAACCAACAAACTAAAAACCTAATTTAGCAGAGAAGAATATCAAAATGTCGACAACATTCAAAGCCATAAGAGACCGGACGTATACAGGCGTAGGAGACCTCATCAGGCTCCTCCCGACAGGAACCGTCTTCTTGTTCCAGTTCTTAAACCCTGTCTTAACCAACAATGGTCATTGCCTC